GAATATATTGACTCGTTGTCATGAAAGTTAGCATAACGTTTCATATGTTTAGCCAGTCAAATAAACAAGGCCTATAAGTAAACATAATATAACATCATTAGCTGTATACATTTTTTCTTACTGTATCACGATCCTTGCACAGCTGTTACCGTTATCGTTAACAATAACCTCATCCCACTAAAAGGTTTTTTTTCCGAAATAAACAAAAATTTATTCAGAAAAACACAAACGCGATACTTAGTTGTCTCGCAAGACTGACACACACACCTCTAGATGCAATCTTATCGAATCAATAAAATCATAGTTATATCAGTAACACGATGATTTCAAATCCAAGCTCTCTGGGATTTGCTTGTCAGCCCAATCATAATCGCGTACCTGGGAACATGTGTATGTGCATGTGGAAGCGTGTGTACCAATATATGTGCATGACTGTACGCGTGTGTAAGGATGCGTACGCTTTTTCCACATAATCCACACACTTTAAACTCTTCCGTACATCATTTTTCGTGTGTGTGTTTTTTTTCTAAGATCAAATTAATTTCGTCGTATTTTTTTCTCTTTCGTTTCCCTTTCTCTCAATCCTACAGCTGTCACCCTCCGCGCAGTGAACCACCTCCCTTTCTACCAATTTACAATCCTGTCTCCCATTCGCGATGCTATCCTTTTACTCGTCGGTTTTTTTCCTGGAGCGAAAAATACTTTCGGAATACCCCCCCCCCTCGCCCCCCGCTCCCATCCCACCGTCACTACCCCGACTCGCTCCCAAACAGATTTATACGAGTCACTCATTTTGCTTTTGTTTTACCTTCTCCTTAAAACTTTCTAAACCAAACGGCGTTTCTTCTATGCACTTTCTTCTAGATGCCTTTAGTTCATTCGCCCCTTCGTAGCTTCTATCCCCCTTTCTCTTGGCCTATCCATCCTATCCATCAGTCTTTCCATCTTTATTGTTCCCCTTAAACATCTGCCTCTTTCCCATCTACCTTTCTTTTCTTCTCCCCTCGCCCCCCTCTTTTTCTACCTATTCCTCTTTGCTCTTCTTACTTTTTCTCTTCTCTCTCTTTTTCCTCCCCCCAGTTGCCTCTCTCTTCCTCTCTATTTCGTTTCTTCCTCTTCTTTCTTTTCTTCTCTACCCTCCCTTTTTTTCTCGCCCCATTCTCTCCTCATTCTCACTTCTCTCTCTCTCTCTCTCTCTCTCTCTCTCTCTCTCTCTCTCTCTCTCTCTCTCTCTCTCTCTCTCTCTCTCTCTTTCTCTCCCCCTCTCTCTCTCCCCCTCTTCTTGAGCCAAAGCCCTTACCCCTTCCAATACAGGAAATGACAGCAAAATCATCAAAATCATCACCGACTACCCCCATCGCTCCGTTCCGTTCCGTTCCGGGAGACGCCGTTCCCACACATCTCCGCCTGCCCGTTCCCCCTCCCCTTCCCCTTCCCCCTCCCTCCCTCCCACCCTCCCGGTCCCCCTGTTCCCTCTCCCATGGCTGTTTCGCGTGAGCTGCCGGGGGTAAATAACAACACAGAAAGGAGACGGAACTGAGATTACGGTGGGTGTGTGGGGGTGGGGGAGGGAGTGAATGAAGGGAGAGATGGGGGAGAGGTGTAGAAAGGGGAGAATAAAAGGAGGAGGTAAGAAGGAGAGAGGGTAGAAAAGGGAGAATGAAGGGGAGGGGTGGGTAGAACAGGGAGAATGAAGGCGATGAGAATAGAAAAGGGAGAATAAAAGGAATGAGGGGAGAAAGAAAATGAAGGAAGAAAAGGGAGAATGAAGGGGAAGGAGGAGGTGGACAAAGGAGAATAAAGGGGATAGGGGAGGTAGAAAAAGAGAGAATGAAGGGGAGAGGGGAGGAAGCTAGGCAGGAGGAGAGGGAATAGAGGAAAGGTTAGGGGGTAGGAGGCAGAAAAGGAGGAAGAAAGAGAGAGACCAGAAGCGAATGAAAGATAAATCACCAGGGGAGACAAAAATCATAAATAAACGTTTGAGAATTGTAGAAAAAAAATACCTTTTCTTCTATGTTCTCTCAAACAGCGAGTCACTCTTGTGATTGCGAGCCACAAACACTAGTGTGCTTGCCCCAATCAGCAGATATCTGTGCTTGGAGGTTACCCCAATTTGGCGATTCCTGTCTTTTTCAATCAAATTTCAAACATTTTATACACAAACAGGAAATAACAAGGAAAAAATGGAGCCTTCACGACGTTACGTAACAGTGCACCAGAAAATAAGGAAAATTAAAAAAAACTGGACACATTAAATCTATAAACGCGAGTGAATATATAAAAATGTGGGTGTATGTCCAAGTTTGGTTGCTTCCTTTGCAAGTATAAACTAAGATGAGAGAGAAAGAGAGAGAGAGAAAGAGAGAGAGAGAGAGAAAGAGAGAAAGAGAGAGAGAGAGAGAGAGAGAGAGAATTTTTTTCTGTACGTGTAGGTTTACGGGTTCCGCAACTGTATGGACTGCAGACACCAATCCGAAACAAAGAGACCTTTTTTCCTCAC